GCCCACCCCGCTGCCCCGCCCGCCCCGTACCTGCTTGCAGGCGTAGCTGCACTGCTCACAGCGGAACCTCTTCTCGTCCTTGTGCGTCTTCTGGTGCTGGAGGAGAGCGTAGCGCTCGTGGAAGATGGACGGGCAGTAGCGGCAGCGCATCTCCGCGGCTTTGTACGCGTGCATGTTACGCAGGTGGACGCCTGCAACAATCAGGAGGCCTCGTGGACTCTCTGCTTCCACCGCCTTCCGGCCTTTAAAGACGTCCAGTGACGGTGTGAGAGCTCCCAGCACCGAGGCTTCCCACCCAGCCGTCCAGGCCTTGTCTCCTGACACCGGCTGTGAGTCCCCTGCGTCTGTGCCCTCCACACCCTCGGGGCTCCCTGTCCCCCTTCATTCCTCCCTGCCTGCTGAGCCTTCGCCCTGGCGAGGGCCGCCCTGTTATCTCTCCTGCCTGCTCATCCTAAGGACTGGGTACTTCTCTGGCCTCCTAATGGACTATCCAAGTGTGTATCCAGTCAGAACCGACCCAGAGCTGAGGCAGGAAATCACGCAGGAGGGCACTGCCCATCTTCCTTCTGTAGAGCAGCTGATGGATTCGAACCACGTGCCTTAGCATTGACAGTGCTATTCTTTACCACTGTCAGCTTCTGGGCCTGTGGGTGGCTTAGCTGGAAGGTGACCATGGACACGGGCTCAGTTCCAGGAGTGAAGGGCGGTGAAGAGCAGGGTTTTCTACTAGGTGGGTTCCTCCCGCCCTGTCAACCCAGGCGTCTCCACCTCAACACCTCCGACGTCTGGGGTCAGGTCATTCCCTAAGCATGTTGTGCTGCCAACCCCAAGGCAGGCTGTTTGAATCCACCAGCTGCTCGTGGGGGAAAGAGGGGCGATCTCCTCCTGTGCGACCTGCTGCCTCTGAGGGCCTGCTGCAGGGTCAGTGCTGCAGGGTCAGTGCTGCGGGGTCAGTGCTGAGTCGGTTCTGACCGGCAGGCTCCGTTTAACAAGAACAGCGGGGGTGGGGGTGGGGGCTGTTCCAGGCCCAGCAAGGGCTTCAGCTGCTTTTCTAGCTTCTGTCCACTCAGCGGTCGAACAATCTCCAAGTCGTAACAATCACACTGCGACAAACGGCTCGTTTCCAGACATGCACAAGGCGCCAGGGTGCTCCAGGCTGACAGTGGGCCCAGGCGCCGGACAAAGCACCAAGCCAACACCACTCGTCCTAACGGCCCTTCCTCCTCCTCACTGTCCCTCCTCCTCCTCACGGCCCCTCCTCCTCACTGCCTGTGAATTGGAGTGGATTCTGCAATTACATAGGAGGAAAGGGCTCAACTTTCTCACCTGGCACCGCTGGTGGATTTGAAATGCTCGAGTCGCTGTCTTTGAATTGTCCACACAACTCCCCACACACTGCACCACCAGAGCTCCCTAACGGCCAGTCCACTCAAAGGTCACCTCGAGATTTACCTTCCCACTCCTGAGTCAACACGGAAGCCACTTTCCTAGAGAGCAAACCACCGGAGCCCAGGGGCCAGCGGACAAAGCACCTGTCACAGAAGGTCTGGTAGGATAACAGGCTGACGTTTCGTGCGGCTGAGATACAGCCCCTGACTTCTAACTCAAAGACTTTCAGCCAAAAGAAAGAACCAAAGAATCTACATTTTCTGTTGGGAGGCAAAGTCCTACGACTTCCTCCACCATGACTGACTTGGACACACAGCAGGGTCAGACTGGACACGCCTGAGGGTCCTTTCTGCTCAGCCCCCTGGGCAGAGGCACAGTCCACATGCCTCCTGCGCGGCCTCATAAAGAGCTCGAGTCCCCAGCTTGTCGCAGGGGGACCATGTTCAACAAGGCACCTGCCACACCCCCTCTGACTCTACCCAGTGTCAGAAACTCTGGTTCCTTAAACTTGCTCGTGAACCTAGACTCCACAGAGCCACCATGCTACAGAAACATGGCCTCGAGGTCGGGATGAGGGAGAAGGCCTTGTCCGGGAATTCTGGCTCACAGCGACCCCCACGGGGTTTCTGAAGCAGCAAAGCCCAAAGCCCAACAAGAACAGACCACCTGCCTTACCCAAGAGGGGCACCTGGTGAACCCAAACTGCTGATCTTTGGGAGACCAAGCTAACACATAACCCACTGCACCACCAGGGTCCCCTGTTCTCAGAACAGGGCATCTTCAACCGCTAAACCTGGATTTGGCCAAACTCCTGAGTATTGCAACATTAGCACACGTTCTAGAAAAAGAAGACCTCGGGCAAAGGGAGTCCACACACACAGACACGCGCCCCGACTTGGTAAGGCTGGAGGCTCCCAGGGAAGACTGACCTGAGAGAACTCTTCAAACCTTAAACCACAACCATCTTGAGCTCCCCTTTTAGCTAAATAACATATTGTTTCAGAAATAATGAACACACCCCGTAAGTATGGTGCTCCTTCAACGGACAACAGTGACCTTAAAACAAGTGCTGGGAAACAAACAAACAACCCAAAACTAAAAACACAAGTACTGGGAACTAGATGAATGGAGACAATGACAATATCGAATGGTTGACTGAGAACCAAAACAGCAGTGTGAACCTTCACTGAAAGGACAACAGTATTTAAGAATATAGGCCCAAAGTGGAATAAAGTAATAGCCACAGAAGAACATTATGAGTTGTTCAGTCTCCAAGAATTCATGTGGATACCCTCCCAGCACGCTCAGAACAGCAGGTCCAGGACAGGACACTCAGGATATCAAGTCCAGGACAGGGCGCCCAGGACAGCAGGCCCAGGACAGCAGGCCCAGGACAGGACACCCAGGACAGGACGCCCAGGACAGGATACCCAGGACAGCAGGCCCTGGACAGCAGGCCCTGGACAGGACACTCAGGACATCAGGTCCAGGACAGGGCGCCCAGGACAGCAGGCCCACGACAGCAGGCCCAGGACAGGGCGCCCAGGACAGCAGGCCCAGGACAGGACACCCAGGACAGGACGCCCAGGACAGCAGACCCAGGACAGGACACTCAGGACAGGATGCCCAGGACAGCAGGCCCAGGACAGCAGGCCCTGGACAGGACACTCAGGACATCAGGTCCAGGATAGGACACTCAGGACAGGACACTCAGGACAGGATACCCAGGACAGCAGGCCCTGGACAGGACACTCAGCACAGGCCGCCCAGCACCTGCTGTGAGTGCGCTCCTGCAGTGCTGCCACCAGATGGCGCCACAGGACTGGCGGAAGGAACCCTCCCAGGTTTGCAGGGCCCCCTGACCAGGTGTCCTCTCCACTCAAGCCCAGTGTCCTGCGAGCCAACCACCAAACCCACGGCCACCAGTCACTCCCAGCGACCCTGGAGGACAGCGGGGGGCCTCCCCAGAGGGGTCCCACGGCTGCCATCTTTACAGAAGCAGATCATGCATGCGCAGAAGAAGGGTCAAACCCTTAAGTCAGCAGTGTCTAACCACTGCACCACCAGGGCTCCTTCACCAGCAGAATGCACTGCCTCGACCTGCGAGCTCTGGTGGCACAGTGGTTAAGGAGCTGCGCTGACAACTCAAAGGTGGCCGGTTCATATCCACCGGCTGCTCCTGTGTCCAGGAGGGCTTCAGCTCTGGGCTCCAAATCAATGGTAAGGAGCTGCTGTTATCTGCAAGATAAGGAGCCCCTGTGGTGCTGCCTACATGTTAGGTGGTAACTGAAAGGCTGGCGGTTCGAATCCAGCAGCCGCTCCACAGGAGGCAGCGTCTTTGTCAGATTTGTTGTTGTTGTTAAGTGCCATCAAGTTGTAAACGACTCATAGCGACCTATGAACGAAAGACCTGAACACTTGTATGACTTTCATTCTTTCTCCAGGTTCATGGGGTTTCTGAGGGCAAGCTATTACGGAAGTGGACGCCACTCCTCCTTCCAACTGTCAGACTTACAGACCTGGAAATGGATGAAGGTCACCACAGGTCAGACTCCACCGAGGGCAGTGGCTCTTTGTCCTCAGAGATGCAAACACATCTGGACAAAATGCCCTTGGAAGTGGTGTGGGATAAAAGTATCCACCCGCCACGTGTCACATCATCAGAAAGATGTGGGGTCCACCACTGAAAGGTCTCAGCCTCAGACCCCCAGGAGTGGTTCCACCTGCACGGGGCGGCAACAGCACGTGCAGGTGCTCTGAGTGGTGCAAACAGCTAAGTGCTTCGCAGCTAAGGGGAAGGCTGGCAGTTCGTGGCACCCCAGGGCACCTCACAGAAAGGCCCGGTGATCTGCTTCCAGAAGCCGGGCCACCGGAACCCGGGGAGCACATCCACTGACACCCCTGGGGTCACGCGAGCGGAGCCGGGTCTGACTCAACGTCACCGTCAACCGGGCAGCCCACTCACTCAGGTCACTCTTCCTCGCAATGACGGTGGCGCAGTGGGGACACTTGTACTTGGGGACGTTCTCGCTGTGCTTCTGCAGGACGTGTATCTTCATGGTGCCGCTCTGGGTGAAGCGGGCGTGGCACACGTGGCACTCGTAGGGCTTCTCACCTGTGACACAGCACAGAGGACCCCTGGCCTGAGGGCCGCCCACGCTGAGGCTCTGAGCAGCCAGTGAGGGCGGCTCTGCGCCCCCCAGGCCCGATCCCACCCCCACCTCGGATGGTGACATCCCAGTTACTTCAGGGCTCTGGGTCAGACACAGGTGTTGCTGCTGTGCTGGGTACAGGTGGGCCACAGTGGTCCCTGTATGTGACCTGCAAGAGACTCCTGACCGTGACACGGCCCTAGGAAAGAGGGGAGCTGCGTCCAGGGTTTCTGAGGCCTTAAGGAAGTGCACCCACGACTGTTAGAAGTGAGGCAGGTGGGAGGAACGCATCCCCAGAGCAGGACCTCGTGCTTGGTAGTCAGTGAAGAGTGAAGACCCTCCCAGAGACGACACACGGTGGCCACACAGGGGCTCACGCCCAGCAGAGGCGGGGGGCCGACACAGGACTTGTGTGCCGAGCAGTGCCCCTCCACAGGCAGCTCTTTCTCAGCAACGCCCAACAGAACTGAGCGGCCTCCCCGTGCTCCCAGGGCCTCCCCGTGCTCCCAGGGCCTCCCCGTGCTCCCAGGGCCTCCCCGTGCT